ATATCATTCTACTGGCTCACTCGGCCAAAGATATGCAGCACATCATAAACAAATTGGTTGAAAGAACAGAAATAATTGGTCTCAAAATAAACAAGGAAAAAACTAAGTTAATGAGAATTAATAATACTAGCCAGGCCCCCATATACGTACAGGGTATTCCGATAGAGAAGGTATCAGAGTTTGAATATCTAGGCAGTACAATTACAACAGATGGAGGAACTGCTAAAGACATAGAACATAGGATCGCTAAGGTTAGGCGCGCATTTAGCAGGCTATGGGCAACCTGGAAGTCAACTCTAATAGCACGCGGAACCAAAATAAGAATATTCAACGCATGTGTTAAATCAGTGCTGCTTTATGGAAGTGAGACATGGTTGGTGTCCAAAGCTAACATGCAAAAAATACAGGTCTTCGTTAACAAATGCCTCAAAATCATATATAAAATATTCTGGCCAAGAACAATTATGAATCAAGAACTATGGCTGATGACAAAACAAGAACCAATAGAGACACAAATAAGAAAGAAAAAATGGAGATGGATTGGCCACATTCTAAGACGCCCAATAACATCGGTTGCACGTGAAGCTCTGGAATGGGGGCCCCTGGGTCGAAGAAATGTGGAAAGACCAAAAGAGACTAGGAAAAGAAGTGTGCACAAAGAAATAGAACAAACAGGCAAAACATGGGCACAAATAAAGAGACTGGCACAGAAGAGAGATAAATGGAGAGGCTATGTTGAAGCCCTATGTTCCCTAGGGGAATAACAAGGATATAAAAAAAAAAAAAAACGATGTTGCGAAGACGCAAACCCTTTTTTATTTATCTTATGTAAAGCTTCAGAGAATATGATTTTTCTTTTTTTTTATTGCCGAAGAAAGGCATGGGTAGAGGAATTCCCACTTAAACTATCCCGGTCCTATCCAAAAACCCGAAGATATCCCTCGGAAAGGCAGATCTGATTTCCCCCACATTGAGAAACCTACGCCCAAGCCGTCTCCACATTCTGATACTCAGAGGAGGTCAGTCACAATGAATGTGCATGGCTATCTCCTCACCGTCCCGGCAGGACTTACACAAAAGGGAGTTTGATTTACCCAGTTTGTGCAAGTGATATTTCACTGAACAATGACCAGTGAAGAAACCAGTAAATGCACGAACCCGATTTCGGTCCATCCCAAGCAGCTCTGAGGAGAACTTCCTTGAGCAAAATGGAAGGAATAATTTTTTCATGATGATATCCCTCTATAGCCTCCCAACGAAGATTTGATTTTTTTTATTATTGTTCTTACAAACTTTATTTCACAAATATCTCTGTTTATATTTTGGAAAGAAATTTGATTAATTAACTTTAGGCGTCTACGTACTTACGATGAAATGCCAATGTGTTTACATGCAAAAATATAAAACCAAAATACAAATACAGTACATATACACGCTTACAGTCTGTAGGCAAAAAAAAATTTTCTCTTGTTTTGGCTCTTGTAAGCGTGTTAGAAAACGTTAAATATTTATTTGTAATTAAATTTATTTTCAATATTTTATTAATTTTTGCGCCATTCACTCAAATATTTTATTATTTGAATGGATGTTGATCGCAATTGTTACTGATATTTCAAAATACAAATCGTAATGGTATTGGTGTTATTTGTTTTTTATATTCTTAACGTAATTATTTAAATAATTCTTAAAAAAATATTTAAAAAAAAAATAGTTGATTCAGATGTCTTATGATTTTCTTATACTATAGTAAACACGTTTTCTTTTTAAATATTTGTTAATATGGCTAATATGAAAATGAAGTTATTAACGTGGTTTTGGGGCCTATTTAGACATAAATTTTGGGTTTAATTAAATAATTACAACAATATAATTAATTTCAGTTAAGTCATGGGTCTAATATTTATATATAAAAGAAAGGTTCCGTGCTAAAGACTTTCCTACTCTATACCTAAATTGATTTGTGCTATTGAGCTTTATTTAAATATTAAGGTTGAATTTACGAAATAGCAGAATTTTTTCGATGTATTTCTGACCAAATTATAAGTTACGAGTATTTTGCTCTTCGAATTTCTATATATGTATTTCGTCATAAAAATCTTGCTAGGGTTTTTGCGTGATTTGGTAGACTTTTGATTGATAGCGGTTGAATAAATTAAATTGTTTTGTTTCTTAACATGAAAAATACTTTTTTTGTCTTGTATTTTTTTAATACTGACTTTGTAATCTTATACTATAAAGAAGCTAAACCTTACTATAAAATAGCTAAACCTATCTTCTGGAAAAATTTTTTTCTTTATACTTATTATTTAATAAATATGTTAATATTGCGTTTTATTAAGGTTTGACAATCTTCCATCCAAATGCCATTGGTAACAAAACAATTTAGACGAGTATTCCAAATATTGTACGCTGAAATTTAATAATGTCATATGTCGAAAATGGCATTTTATCGGACAAAGCGTTTTAAATTTTTTCTTGTTTTTTTTGTTCTCATTTCCATTCCATTTTCTTTTGCATTTAAGATACAAGCTAGTGATTAATTTATTAATATGTTTCTCTTAAGAATTTGTAAACAAGCTTACGAGAGTCTGATGTTTTGACATGGGAAGTTTCATCACAAATCCGTTTTGTAATAACCGAATTGGAATAATATTGAAATGTGATGCAAAAATGAAATAATATGAACAATGTCCTTGTGTATTTTTATAACTTGGACGTAAGATTCTATTTTAAATAGACTCTTTTAATTGATCAAGACTCATTCAAAATTTTAAATATTAGAGATTTTCGCACAACGCAAATATTCATTGTTATGAGTAATGCAGTTTATATGATTGCATTACTCATAACAATAACTGCATTACTCATAACAATTTCGCGTTATCGTTGACAATTTAAGTGCTTAAGAATAAACCTTATTTGAAAAATTTATTTATGAATTAACACAAATATAGCGAAGTTTTCAATATAAATATCGTGATATAAAGGTCAATTCTACTTTTATTAGAAACTTCAACAATAGCTTTTTGCTGACCAACATTTTAGCTTCTCTAAATTGTTTAAAACTATACTCAGTCACAACAACTTAATTGATATGAATAACCACAGGTAATAATTCTACAATTAAATTGAATAGTGAACATTAAAATACCAGTATGTATAATAAATTTGATCAAATTTACATATGAAAGCTAACAAACATATCGAAAATTATGGTAAGCACCCACTTATTGTGAAATTATTGAAAATTTAAAGAATAAAACCTATTATTTTTGTATTTAACTCCAATATTTTTCCAAAAAACACATTTATTTATGATTTCCTACCAAAATGTTTGACACACGCTTAAAAACTATAAACTTATAATTTTAGTAAAATTCTACATTTAATACAAGAGGCGATGAATTTATGATTCATATTACATGAAAAGGTTTTTCAAATAGAGTGAAACTATATACCACAAATAATTTTGCTTTTATATGTTTTTTTTTAATATTTTAAATTTTGAAAGTAAAATGAACAGTTTTTAATCAGTGACGTGACATTTTATAAGAGATAGAATGAAGTAGATAAATTATCATCGCATTCAGAACGAAGTAAGCAATCGAAGTGATCTTTTATATAATACGAGTATTGTTTACGAACGTAAATCTAACAAAAATTATGCACTGAGCATTCTTTTCAAATGTGACAGCATTTAAGTTGTTTCTTTAATGAAATTAGTCATAATGTCATAATACGTACTCATATTGCATAAATATAGGGAAAAATTATATTTTAACGGACATTTAACTTGAAATTAATGAAGTCACTGAAAAAAACAATTTAGGTATGGCGGTTTCGTCCAATTGCAAATTTATAGGTTTATATGATTTGCAAATTTTTGAAGAAATTTGGGAAATTTTCAAAGCTTGGTATCATGTATGGCGAACTGTAAAGATCAATTTGTAAATTCGACGGAAAATTTGTCGTTTAATAATATTATACATAATAACGGCGATTACGATAAAAAAAATCCTCTTTAAATTTAATTACTAAATTGCGGTAGCAAATTTCAAGCAAAATTGAGTGTATTGAGTCTTCCCAAATTTTGTTTTGTTGTTTGTATTTTTGTGTCGAAAATATTTAACAACATTATGTCATGCGCTGCTTTGGCTCTAAAAATTTTGGTGCTTGTTATATTCCCTTTTAATACTTTAATAAGCTTTGTAAAATTCAATAATGAAGATAGATACGACTTAACTTAATATTAAAATGAGCTCATATATGAATTAAGATTGTTATCTAATCGAGATTTGACGCGTCGACACTGCATTATAATTTTCGACACAATTTCATTTTAAAATATTCTAGAAATGATTTATACTACAAATCGATTTGTTTTGAGTTTAATAACCTATTTTAAAGCTTTTGAAATTTTGAAATTATTGTTTTATTTTTCTTTGTTATTTTTTCTGCACATTTTTGTAGTTTTTTAAATTGAGAAAAATTCCCAGCTTTTGTAATAAAAACTATTTTGTTTTTTTTTTTTTTGAAAAAAATTCTTTTTCTTTTTCATTTTTTCCAATAGAAAATGTTGGGATAAGCCATAAAAAGTATGGGTATGTGTGTATGTATTTATGCGTATGGGATGCCAAATATAAAATATTATCAATCTTAAATAGTATTTACAGTTTTATTTAGATAATTTAAGATACAACATAAACCTAAATTTCTAAAATTCGCTGACTTACTTTGCAAAATACTTACAAATTTCTTTTTACTTTCTCCTAATTCTTATGAATAAAAACCAAATGATTTCCGTACAAAAGGTTTAGTCTAAAATTTTTTTTCTTTAAAATAATATGAAAAAATAAATTTTGGTATTTTTAATTTTTAAATCTCTTTTTTTTTTTTTTAAAAAACAAAAAAAAATGTTAAAAATTTCTTTAATTCTAATTTTATATTGTGTAACAAGTGCTCAACCGAGCTTAAAATCTACTGCTAGAAAACTATGTAATATGACAGATGTTTGTCCCAATCGTAGTTCAATTGCTTGTAAATATGTAAAGAATCCTGTAAGTTGTTTTGTGTTTTTTGTTTGTTATTAGAAATCTAAATGTGCGCGAAAATAACATTTTTTACGGACGAAATAATATTATAGTGTGTGAGATTTCGGACTAGCAAGAGACTGCTCCTAAAATTAATAACATTACAATTACGTTAAAATTTAATAACATTACAATTAATTACTAAAATTTTTATTTTTTGAACAAAAAGTAGTGCATGAATGAATCCGGTGTAAACACATCCTTTAAATCACTTTCATAAACTATTGTGAATATTAATCTTAATATTACTATTTTATACCCAGGGGGGTTTTAAGAAAATTATCACCAAAAAAATATTGAAATTTATTAAAATATTGTGCTTAATAAGAGTGTTTTTAATTTATTTATTAATAATAATCTATACCTTACCAACTTTATATCAACCATTTTTATTTTTTAATGTATTGAAGGGTGTAAAATGTAAAGGTGCTGTTTTAAGATTAAATAAAGCAAAAATCTTACATTGGCACAATGCTCGAAGAAATTTAATTGCATTGGGAAAAATCAGTAAATATAAGCCAGCTAAAAGAATGGGTACAATGAAATGGAGTAAACAATTAGAACGTATGGCTATGTATAATGTAATGACATGTAAATTTCAACATGATAAATGCCGTAATACAAGACGATTTCCTCAATCTGGACAAAATATATATTTGGAAAGGAGTCGAGGTAAATTAAAGAAAACAGATGTGATAGCTTTAAATGGAATTAAAGCATTTTTTGCTGAAAGAAAATATGCTAATATGAAAATTATCAAAAAATTTCCGAAAAAGACTAGGTAGGTTTTCATTATCGTTTAAGTTTCAATATTTTAAATATTTTCTAATGCTTACGTAGATACCCAGTTGGCCATTTTACATCAATGATTAAATATAATAGTGATTATGTTGGATGTGCTATGATTAAATTCAGATCGAATGGTAGAAATAAAGCTGTTTTCGCATGCAATTATGCATCAACAAATATTTATGGAAGACCAACATATGTTGCTGGGAGAGCTGCTAGCGGTTGTAAAAAAGGACGAAATAAAAATTATAAGGGTTTATGTTCGAATAAAGAAGTATTTAGTCATTTTATCCATTGAATATTTTGAGCAAATTAAATTATTGGAATTTTATTTCAAACATTTTAAATCTTTTATTTTGAGTTTATAGAGAGTTCAGTCTTTCTAAAGAGCAATGTTTTTTTAATGTTTAAACTTATGACTTATGAAAATATTATACCCACTATTAATTCTTTAAAGAGAGTTGAAAATTCAATTTTAATGGGTATAGAATACAAAACTTAGCCCTACGTTATTCTCTACTCCAAGGTATGTAATTTCTAATTGTAGATATTTCTGCAGGGGTAATTGCTGGGGTCGAATTTGTAAATGAAAAACTTAAAATGAGTCAAATGCACCTTGTAACACTGGATCCTGAAATTTTAAGAAAAATATCGAGATTGTTTTTAAGGCGCTCTTTGTTTTTTCCTGTCCACTCAAGATGGAAGAGCATTTAATTCTATAAACTACGTAAAGCATTTGTTTCTTACAAATCACTTGTGGACTTGCTGAACCCCAAAATGCGACAATTTTTTCGATTGACAAAGCCGTCAATATGAATCTGAGCTTCATTACAGATAACTTTCATTATTTACAAAATATTGCTCAACCATAAAAATGCGTTGTTCTTTTGTGTAGCGCTCCATTTTTAATAACCCTGATCTGTCAGCTGTCACGTTCTATTTTTTTTTTTGGTTGGCAACACTTTACCGCACAATAGCGCAAAATTCAAATCTTGCGTGAATTTATGGACACCCTTTAGAAAGTTTGTTTAAAATTTGTGCATATAAACAATAAATCACTAGTCATTACGTTAAAACGGTGTACAATCCCGGCTCTGATAAATCTCAAAAATAAATACAATTTTAATACGTAAAATTTGTTACGACAATAAATCGTATTTCAGTATTACAATGATGTAAGTAACAAACAGAACTCTATACTTTCATCATTATACTACCTTTAAAACGTCATCCAATATTATTATTTTTTTTTGAATATGGGTTAAATTCGTAATTATTTATTTATCGGCAGTGCTTCGTGATAAAACAAAAAAATTAAAACAATAAAAACAATTTTTCTCTTTATTGTTGTTTTTTGTTATTGATACTATAAAATTCCCGATTCCCATCAAAAATATTTTGTTCTTTCTAGGTAATAAATTTACAGTGAAAACATTCGTTTCATATGAATTCTACATAATTTTGACTTTTAGTCAAAACTAGTACCATGTACGTGGACCTTATACTGCTTATATTCGTATTTTACAGAACCCTTACTTTCACATCAAAATTAAACTAAAATTCGAACTAGGTCATGCATTAAAAATGAACTTTTGTAAAGGCATATGTAAAAATGTTTCTACTATTAAATAATAAATTGATATAAAGAGTTAACAACTCCGTATAGGATAGTTACATAACGAATTCAAGGAAACAATGGGACCCCTTGTTTTATTTGCATTTCTCAAAACTTTTCGCAGAATTCATACAATAAGAAATCGTACGAATTCCACCTGAATAAATAATATTAACACAAGTGGAAAAGATTTATGAGGTATTTGCATATAAAACTATTTTATATAAATACTTACGCTATGATTTTTGGATTATTATAACAATTCAGTGCAAACCAATAAACTTTTAATTACTTTTAGCAAAAAAAAGATTATAGCATCCAAAATGTTCATAATTTTCACAATTCTCATATTAATCTCTGCAATATGCTTGGCACAAGAAACAACTGAATTGGCTCAATATTACTGTGATACGGTCAATTGTGATCCTCAGCAATCAATCGCTTGTCAATATACATCAAATCCTGTAAGTATGCAAATAAATGTATAAATTTAATACTAAATTTTTTATAACACATTTATGTTTTATAATACTTGAATAATTTAGAATATGAAATGTAATGGTCAATTAAGAAGAGTAAATAGAAATCTGATAGTTGATTTTTTCAATAGTAAACGTAATGATATTGCATTAGGTATTGTACCAGGTTATGATCAAGCTGTTAAAATGGAAACAATAGAATGGAATACAGAATTAGAACAAATGGCTAGATATAATGTTATGACATGTAAATTTGGTCATGATAAATGTCGTAACACAGATAATTTTGTACAATCTGGTCAAAATCTTTATTATCAATGGAATACAAATTCAAATTTAAATACTGATGGTGTAGTCTTAGAAGGACTTCAAGCTTGGTTTGATGAATATCAAGATTGTGATATGTCTTATATTGATAGTTATCATAATTCACCGTAAGTTGAATTTATTTCAAATATCATTGCAATATTGTATTCTATAAAATTTTTTAATATTTTTAGAAACATGATTGGGCATTTTACTATAATGGTGAAAGAAGATAATAATAGACTTGGATGTGCTCTAAATAAATATCCATCAGACGGTGGAACTACTTATTTACTTGCATGCAATTTTGCTACAACTAATATATATGATGAACCGATTTATATATCTGGGCCAACTGCCAGCGAATGTCCGGCAGGTACAAATCCACAGTATTATGGATTGTGTGCACCTTAATTTTTTCTTGAATTTTTTTTTATTATTTTTTGAAATCTGTGATTCTTTCAAATGTGATGTTAAATATATAATCCTTTTTTAATATTTTTATATATAATTTTGTATTTGTGTATTCTAAATTTTTGCAGCACGCTTAAGATGCTGTTTTCGAAATTCTAAATGATAAGAGAGCAAATATTTTGGTTCTGATCAAAAATATAAATTTGTTACAAAGAATTACAAAGAAAACTTGTTACAATAAATACAAAGCAAGGAACTTGAGTACAGAACTTTGAGAATGTTTGCTGCTTGATTCTCCCATATTTGGCTAAAAATTAGCTCCAACCTGTATTCTTCACAAGAATACATAAGAAATTCTAGCTGTTAAGGTTACTAAATGGTTAATACGACTAATACGAGTATAAAGGTTTTCCTGCTGGCCCCTAGGATTTGAATCCACTGCAAAAATCCGAAAAGAGTTTTGATTGACCAAATGTAGTATAGATATATCCAATATTGTACGGCCGACACGTTGACTTTAAAAGCTGTAAAGACTTTAAGGAGCTCTTATTGTAAATATAGTCACAACATTTTGCTGCATGCTGTTAAGATATAGCTCATCGATAAAGAAAATCAGAGAAAACGGAGAGTTTGCAGTGTCTGTTGCGTCATGAAGTAACAGTCAGTAGAAGATTGTAACGCTTACACTTTTTAGACTTTACCCTACATTTGCAGTTTCAAGTTCATTCGAAAATTTCAAAGCAAGAGATTTTTGCCATATACTCCATTTTTTTAAATTAATTTTGTATATAAAAAATAAAATAAACATTTCTTATTTATAAAGAAAATATGTGGCAAAGTAAGTGACGTATCATTTCTTAAATGATAAATGATTCATATCGACAAAAATATTAAATAAACAAAGATTGCAATAATTAAAATTTTAAACAAGCCGTTTTTATTTTATTAACCAGTCATAAACAGGGAAAATTCTGGCAAATATTATGGTACAATATTTATTTTTCACTTTATTTCTTAAGTTCTGCTCAACAGTAAAACTCAGCAATAACTCCTCGTAAACAATAAAACACTGACGCACCAGGAAATTGTATTGAGCATGTTGATCCTTAAAATTAATAAAATTGCTGCAAAAGTTCTAACTTTCAGCAGTAATTTTCTTCATTAAAATTTAGAGCTTGATCTTATTCCAATTCTTGACGAATCTTTAATAATTTTAAGTTTGCATTTCATAGCTTTGTCATCTCAAAACTAACTTCGTTTTTTCGGACTCATAATTTCATATATGACCTTGGATTATATTCAAAAATGCAATAATTGTAAAATGTAACAATAACAATAAAATAAAATGTAAACTGTAACAATAATTTTAAGCGATACTGTATAACGAATAATATATGCATTCAGAACTTGATATTTATTTATTTAAATAATTGAATAGAATTAAGTTAAAAAAATTCCCTTGTAGCAAATAATTACAAAAAAAACGGTCGAACAATATAACCAATTAGTCAAAATTCAAATAAAAGAAAAGCTCAATGTCAATTTACATCACGTTTACAATCATAATGTAATTTTAGAGCCTTCTGCTTTTTCAGCTTATACCTTAAATATTTTTCGCATAAGTTTTCGTAGAATATAAACAATTAATTAGGAAAAACTTCCACCTGAGCAAATATATTCAATATGATTTTCGGTGTAAAATGAATTCCGTATAAATACTCTGCGACATAAGGATTCTTGCATTAATCAAGTGCAAACGTATCATTTTCAAATTTCCAAAATGTTTAAAATTTTATTAATTTGTGTATTAAGTTTTGCAATATGTTCAGCTCAAAATCCAACTCAAGTAGCTCAAAATTATTGTAAAACTGTTAATTGTAAATCGGAAACCTCAATTGCTTGTCAATATAAATCAAATGCTGTAAGTATTAGAAACACATAAATCGAAATAATCTAGTAAGTTATTGGAAAAATTACAGAATATGAAATGTAAAGGACAATTACAAAAATTGGATAATGAGGCTATAGTTAAATATTTCAATAGTAAACGTAATGATATTGCATTAGGCAAAGTAACAGGATATGAACCGGCCGTTAATATGCAAACAATCAAATGGAATAAAGAATTAGAACAAATGGCCAAATATAATGTTATGACATGTAAATTTGAACATGATAAATGCCGTAATACAAATAATTTTAGACAATCTGGTCAAAATCTTTATTATATGTGGAGTACAAAATCAAATGTAAATATTAGTAGTGTTGTGTTAAATGGACTTAAATCTTGGTTCGATGAATACAAACTGTGTGATATGTCTTATATTGATAATTATCGGAATTCACCGTAAGTATTTTAATATTCTTAATATAAGCATTATTTCTTTGTTAACAAAAATATTTTTTTTATTATAAATTTTAGTAATATGATTGGACATTTTACGGCTATGGTCAAAGACAATAATAACTATCTTGGATGCGCTCTCAACAAATATCCATCTGATAAAGGAACCACATATTTACTTGCATGTAATTTTGCATCTACTAATGTATTAAGTAGACCTATATATTTATCTGGACCATCTGCTAGTAAATGTCCAGGAGGTAAAAATTCACAATATCCCGGATTGTGTAAATAATTTATCAGTGTTAAGATTCATTATATAGTATTTTGGAATTGCTCTTGCGTTAATTTAGTGCAAGTAGTGCTCTGCAAATTTGAGGCAAACTTTGGTATCAATAAAGGAAACTATGTAATTTTCATTCTATTACAAATTAAATTAGTCTTGTCTTATTACAAATTTTTTAATAGAAAATGTATTGTCCTCAATATTAATTTAATTATTGGGAACCCTTCATATTAATTCAATAATTATTGGGAAAACTTAAAGTAAACTTACAAATAGTTTTCAAATCCTGTCTTAAACTTACTTTTTTGCAACCAAATTTTTTTCCCAAAAATATAATGAAAATAATTTTTTTGAACGTTTTATATAATAACGTATAAAGGTTACTTAAAAATTGTACCTGCATTTTCTAATAATATTCTTCCCTTTTATAATTAAATTATAATTTGAACCTTACTAAAACATAATTTAAATTATTTATTAAATTATCGTAGTAATAAGTTAATTAAATATTTTATTTGGAATAATGAAATAAGGAAAAAAAGAATGTTTTATAAAAGTTAATGGTTTACAAATAAGCACATTTTTCAATAACATAATATCGCACCACCAATATTCTTAAGAGGTTCATAATTTGACATAGAAAAGAATTCGAATCCACAAATTGACATAAGTGACATAACGGATTAAGAATTTTTCCTGTGACAGTTTTAGAAAATTACTAACATTCTTTATGTATAAGAATCTGCTACGGAAATCCCATACATTATCACTACACAAGAGAAAAACGTTTACAATATGTTTTTGGGAAATTCTATAAAATCTTCATTATTTTATATTGCAAATGTACATACATATGTATATTTAAGAATATAACAATATTTCTTTTCTTTTTTATTATTTGACAAACCTGAAACGTAAACAAAGAGCTAATGAAAATTAAAATACAAAAACGAAATCTCTTGAATGTGAACTCCGTTAACCCTCTATTTTGCCCGATTTTTTCGTTTACTGCGAAAATATTACGAATGTGTGAACATTAATAGCGGTCTATTGGGTATTCCATGGAAAACTTCAATTATAATGACTCTTCTAACTCTAAAATTTAAAAAGAAATAAGAGGACGGAATAAATTTCATTTATTTCAAAATTAATTTTATAAATAAAATAATTTTAGTTGAACTGTTTAAGAAATAGTTTAGGCAGAGCGCGTAAAATAAAATTATTAGTGATTTAATTGGCAGGAAATTTAAATTATGCGAAAATATTCACCTTCTCAATAGTAACATAATTATAATAACCGGTGGTCCATTTAGAATCTTTACAATATTTCAACAACAAGTCTACAAATATATAGATCTAAAAACAATTTTAAGCGTTTTCGAAAGCGAGTTTACCACGTCATCTATTCAATATTCCCCTTATTAGCATCTTAATCTTCTTTATATGTTCCATAAGAAATTTAAGCTTTAAATCTTTAAAAATTTTTATAAAAACAAGCCAAAATATACAAATGGACAAAATAAAATAATTAATCACCTTTTATTCCCAAAATTTTGCAAAATTTACTAAATTAAAAAGTAAAGTAAATATTTCGTTTAATTTTCTTTACCTTTCAGTTAATTTAATTGAGCATAACCAGCGGGATTTATTATAAAACCCAACATTAAAATTTTAAATTTCATTTTCAGTATAAATTTAAAAGTAAAAATATATACAAGTACATATGTATGTGTATGTTTGTACATATGTACATATTTAAGCTTTTGTTTTTGTTTTTAATTTAACTGTTCGTATAACCCTTATATTTACTGTTTTTATTTATACAGAAAAAGTAATGTAAGTTAATGACGTTGATTGTTAAGAAAAATAAACAAAATAATATTTAGATATTACGGTATAAAGCAACAAATACCTACATATATATACGTTCATATTTTTATATTTTATATGTATGGCAGGTAAATACATATACGTTACCTACCTTAATGAAAATTTACGAAAATAAACTTTATTATTGGGTAAATTTTAAGTTTAAAAAGAAAATTTGATTTGTATATAACTTGATTAAAACCATTGAATAGAATTCGACAAAATATATTTTTAACTGTTATACAAAGTACTTACTGTTATACAAAGGTTAAGTATACATTTTTTAATGTCGTTTAATCCTTGTTGTGTGTATATTTAATTTTTTTAGAAGCTAAGTTCAACTATTACATTAAACTTAAAAATTGGTTTTCACACCTTTCTTTATGTATTACAGTTACTTTCAGTACTTTCAGAATGCTAATTACTTTATAACAGTACAAGTAATTTAAAAGAATTTTGTGGCACGTTATGATGGTACACATATATTCCTTATTAAATGGCCAGCAATCGCAGTTCGTTCTTTATGGCCGCGTTTTTATAAACGTTTACAGTACAGTTTACCTAAATATGAATTGAAATTTAAAAGAAACTAAAATTTTTTTTTGAAAACTAAAAAGGAATTTTTTTTTTCTTATAACTATTTAAAAAAAAAAAATTTATTTTCTTTTAAAATTTGCGCTCTGCTCATTCATAAACGTAATACGAAATTTTTTTTCATCATAATTTCTATTTGTATATATAGATTTTAAAATTTAAAATGTAAATTACACGCTCCTTCAGTATACCACTTTTTTAATATACCCTTTATAGTTTTATACTATTATTATCCAAACCAAGAGTAAATATACAAAAAATTTTAAATAAAAATTTAATATTATGGTTTTCATAATATTCTTTTCGGATTTATCCTTAAGCCGATCTAGCTGTAATACATATAAAAAATTATTATTTAGAAAATTATGAAAAATAAAATAAATTTCATAATTTCATATTTCCATTGAGCACTGGTTTCTGTACTGTATTACCTTTTCTAACACTTTATGCATATACTAAAGTTTAATACATAAACATATTTGTAAGGTGTAAACTCCGATCAAATGTAATATTTGGTATACAATAGGTTAGGTGAAAGGGATAACAATGTTAAAATAACCGTATAAGAGGCGAATGAAATAATATTAAGTCAAACCAATGATTTGTATTGTAGCACTTTTCCCTTCAACAAGTGAAAATATTGCTTTAAAAAAAAACTAGCGATTTTCTACTACTATATTAAAATTACTTTTATTTATATGAGAGACTATATAGAAATTTGAAAAAGCTTGCGGTTTCACATATATAAGGCGCCAAATATTCAAATTTTACAAATTTCAAAAGGTGATAACTTGAGAGGGGGTGGAGGTGAAAAAAAATTTTCTTCCCGCAAGATAAACTATTTGATAGTGTATAAAAGTTGTTAAAATTTCAAACTCCTACAAAGTACTGTGTAGAAGAAAAACGGGATCAAATATTTGGAAAAAATGGACTTTAGATAAAGGTAAATTTTAACAACCATTTTGTTTTTTTAAAGTTGAGTTATGTTATGCCGTGATAGAAGAAGGTAGCCGCTATATTTGCAAAATTCTACAAAAATAGTTGAAGAATGGTATTTTTAGGTTTTTGGAGGAGTATAACTTTTAGAGGGGGGGAGGTAGGTAAAAATTTTGTTCTACAAAAATAAGTTTCTGGGAAAGATCTATATACGTATAAAATTTCCACTTTCTATTTTCATGGGTGTAGAAGTTTTGTAAACGGACACACGGACAGACAGACGGCCGGACAGACAGAGTGAAACTAATAAGTACTTTTATTCGAAAATTTTTTGGAAAAGTTCTAAAAAGCCAATGAAAAGCAGTAGAACAAATTTTTATTTTTTGGTAACAAAAGAGTTTTTTTTAAAAATCCCTTTTTCACTCTGTTTACCTCTTTTACCTTTTACCGTAATTTGTTTGACCCTAAAAACAGAGTAATAAAATGAAAAAAAATTTAAAATTTTTGGAATTGAATTTTAGCTTTCTTTCCTCCCCAATTTTCTAAACATTTTTAATTTTTTCTTTTTGCTGAACGTATTACATTCAATAAAAAAGGTATTGTAATGGCGATATATTCCATGTGTTGAATTTTGAGAACGAAGTATAAATAAACTATTTTCAGCGATTTGTTTGTACACTCGCATAAATTCTCTAATAAGTAACCCTAAGAAATAATAGTCTAAGTTATAGACATAAAGCATGTAAATATATTGATCAGCGTCGAATTTTGAGTTGATTTAAACATGTCTGTTCGTATGTCCTGTCCTAATCATCTGTCCTAATGTTAACTCAAAAAGTAATTGAGATAAGCTCACCAAATATTCATAGTTTATAATAGTTAATACCGGAACCCTATTTAAATTGATATATAAATTTTGCGTAAGAAAATATACTATTGGGGCTATTATGTGCGATAAAATTTGTTTAAATTCCTTGACTTCGTGGTAGCTATTATTTCAATATTTGCTCGGTCATAATATCTTAAAAACTATTGAAATTAAATTACTGAAATTTTGCATAAAATAATATGATAATACAGCAATTTAAAGTCATAGTCTGTTCCATACTCAGTTACGGCTTATTTGTTCGCTTATATGGAATAATAAGTGCGTATGTGCATCATAGAGTTTACATTATCAAATCTATTTTTTCACGCTTTTTATTTAAATTTATATTTTCCAAGTTCATAATTATTTTGGGCTGTGTGTCAGATTTCTATAATTGAATTTTTACTACTCTTTGATTTTCCTTTTTTTGCCTATTTTTGTAAAAGAATTTAGGTGGTAAGAACCACGTTTATGTGTTTCTATTTATACAAGCGATTCGTAAAGTTTTCTTAAAATATAAAGTAAGATCTATAAAAATATGTTTATAATTTCGTATAACACTTTTGCACCAATAATAAAACAAATCTTCTTTAGAGTTTATATTAATGATAAAATGTGCATTGTGCTCGGTCATGTGCTGACCTCATCAGATATTTTGCAGTATGAATTTTTTTTTATCAGTGTTGCCATCAAATTATTATTACATTTTTAGAGAACTGTTAATTTTTTTTCATATTTTCTCAACTTGTTTTCGTTTTCTTTTTCCTGTTTTGTTAATTAAATTTTTGTTTTTTTTTTTTGTTATTCATAATCGTACAGTTTTTTGTTACTTTTGCTTTTACATATTATAATAGTCGTATGTACATCAATGATAGTATTTTTAGTAAAATTAAGTCAAAAGTAAATACACAAAGATCTTAACTTTAAAAATTAATAGAACTATAGAGCTTCTGCTCTTTATCAGTCTAAATGGTGTATTTAAATATTTAAAAGAATTTGTTGAGTTTTATACTCTGAAGTGGGAAGTCACTCTTAAAAATTCTAAAAAATTACATTATTTACAGCTTGTTGTAGTCCTACACTACTTATCTGGACTATTTGATAAATAAAAAATTACAAATTTCAAATTCTGTAAGAAATTTAATATTTTAATAAAAAATGCTGCTTTTTCATATTAATGCTTGCACATACTCGTATACTTGTATACGAGTATGTGATGAAATAGCCTGTAACTGTTAAAGTCTTAAAATCACAAGAAAAAAATATCCGTAATTTAAGTATAGCTTGTCCATTATAGTCTTCGTTCTACTTTAAGCCAAAATAGTTTAGAATTGAAAAGTAATAAATGTATGATCAAGCAAGCAAAAAAATACTTTACATGCTGGTAGAACTTATCATATATTTTATGTTTGATTTCATAGAATATATTAAAAGTTATATAGAGATAGCTACAAAAATAATTTTATATCAAAAATTTCTTAAAAATCAAATTCCATAGTTTTATTCTTCTTTTTGGAAAAAGTGAACTAGCCGATGAAATTGGGCCAATTTCAAATAGTTTTCATCATTTTTAGAAATTTTTTCACGAAGCTTATTACATTTCATTGAATCGATTTGTAAATCTTTTGGACAATGTTGAATAAATTCTTTCCATGTGCAATGGAACATTTTTAATATTTGACCATTACAATCATTCTTTTCAGTTGATGGTTTTTCATTTGATTCAGTTAAACATTTATCAGTTACTTCTTCAATTTTTTCCAATTTCCATGATTCTTCAGCAAATTTTTTTTTTAAATGTTCAATTACTTTAGCACGATCTAATTCACCATTTTCATTAAGTAAATTAAATTTTTTAGCTAGACATTCACTCATACAAATCAGATTTTGTTTTAGTTTTTGTGCACTTTCACAATCGAAAGGATCTATGTTTAAATCCTCTAAAATATACATTTTATATTTTATTAACATAAATTAAAATATTAATGATAAAAAGTGTTACCATCGCCTTTAATTTCTTTGTAGCATTCCGCTTTAAATTTCTTTATTTCTTCAAAGTCAGATGGATTATTTTTTTCTGATTTGCAGCATTGCATTCCTTTATGATGTGAACATTTCTCCTCTGATGCATCTCTTTTAAATCGAAATCCTGGTGCACTAAATGAATTCACATCTTTTAATTCATCAATTAGGTATTCATCTTTTAAAAATAAAATACAAAAGCGTTCATTGAAATTAAAAACATTAAATTCGATTTAATTTAGTCTTACTAAATGCCGAATCCTTAAAGTCATATGATAAACATAAAGATATAAAACTTATTAGCAGAATTGAAATTTTGTACATTTTGAACAATTAAATTATTTTAATTATGAGCACTTTTGATCACTTTCTTTCTTGTTATTTAACTGAATCGATTTCAATTTATCTATTAGACTTATATACTTAGTAAATTTCTACTATTTTGTAATTATAAAGCTCTGCTTAATTAATTAGCAAAGTCATACTATCACTATCGAACTTACAAATTTACCTATAAATCATTTATTATAGTTTATATTTTAAAATTCCTTGTTCTACAAGTTATTAGAGAGCTTTCTTAAGTTAAATTAATTTATCATAGTTCATACGAGCATTATATTTTTTAAATATGTAAATAAATGTATATACATATGAGTGAATTTTTTAATTAAGATAGATTAGATGGGTGTTGTTCGCGGTCGATCAAATATAATTACTATAATCAGTAATCATTATCAAATAAAAATTAAAAAAATCATGAAGAGAAATCAACAAACCTATTGTTTTATTCTTTATTTTCTATATGGGCAATTTAATTCAAAAATTAATTACAAATTTTCTATACAGTTTTCAATTCGATTCTGGCAGATTAAATCATGAATTTTCGTAGTTTGGAAATTAATAAAACATTGTTAAAAGCATTTTAGAAAGGTAAAGCACAAAAGTATTTTAAAATTTTAAAGAAATTTCTATGCCACTTTGTAAGATTATTTTTTAAATTACAATTTAAGTATAATAACTTGTAAGTTCCCACTGAATATACTGCTGTCTAAAAAATATTGACCAAAGGGAAAAAATTTAATTGCCGGAATCTCTTAACAAAATAATGCATTTATTTTTAAATGAAATTATAAAACTAATCTTCTTAATTTAAATAAAAAGTATGTGATCCAAGCTTTGAAATATAATTACCATAATCAATAACAACTGTGTAAACAAAGTTATTAATATGAATTAAAAAAAATAAGGTATAATGCTTGTATTAATGTTGATAGATACATTAAAAATATTTTCAAAATTATTTTTGCTACAACTTGATATCACATATTGGTAGACTCTACGAGTTCTCAGAATTCTATGGCTAAACGAGAAAGGAGAGAGCAATTTTAAGTGTTTTTGGTGATCACTGGGAGTTCACAGATTCCGCCAATATGTGACAATAGGCTGTAGCAAAAATATTTTTGGAGATATTTAAAAAAATCTTTTGCAAAAAATCTTTAAACGCGTTTTCTGGCTAAACTAAAAGAGATAGAGCGATTTTAAGTGTTTTTCGTGATCACTGGGAGTTCACAGATTCCGCCAATATACGATAATGGGCTGTGACAAAAATATTTTTGGAGATATTTAAAAAAATCTTTTGCAAAACTTTAAACGCGTTTTCTGGCTAAACTAGAAGAGATAGAGCGATTTTAAGTGTTTTTTGTGATCACTGGGAGTTCACAGATTTCGCCAATATGTGATAATAGGCTGTAGCAAAAATATTTTTGGAGATATTTAAAAAAATCTTTTGCAAAACTTTAAACGCGTTTTCTGGCTAAACTAGAAGAGATAGAGCGATTTTAAGTGTTTTTTGTGATCACTGGGAGTTCACAGATTCCGCCAATATACGATTATGGGCTGTAGCAAAAAATATTTTTGGAGATATTTAAAAAAATCTTTTGCAAAACTTTAAACGCGTTTTCTGGCTAAACTAGAAGAGATAGAGCGATTTTAAGTATTTTTTGTGATCACTGGGAGTTCACAGATTTCGCCAATATGTGATAATAGGCTGTAGCAAAAATATTTTTGGAGATATTTAAAAAAATCTTTTGCAAAACTTTAAACGCGTTTTCTGGCTAAACTAGAAGAGATAGAGCGATTTTAAGTGTTTTTTGAGATCACTGGGAGTTCACAGATTCCGCCAATATATGATAATAGGTTGTAGCAAAAATATTTTTGGAGATATTTAAAAAAATCTTTTGCAAAACTTTAAACGCGTTTTCTGGCTAAACTAGAAGAGATAGAGCGATTTTAAGTGTTTTTGAGATCACTGGGAGTTCACAGATTCCGCCAATATATGATAATAGGTTGTAGCAAAAATATTTTTGGAGATATTTAAAAAAATCTTTTGCAAAACTTTAAACGCGTTTTCTGGCTAAACTAGAAGAGATAGAGCGATTTTAAGTGTTTTTTAGATCACTGGGAGTTCACAGATTCCGCCAATATATGATAATAGGTTGTAGCAAAAATAATTTTGGAGATATTTAAAAAAATCTTTTGCAAAACTTTAAACGCGTTTTCTGGCTAAACTAGAAGAGATAGAGCGATTTTAAGTGTTTTTTGTGATCACTGGGAGTTCACAGATTTCGCCAATATGTGATAATAGGCTGTAGCAAAAATATTTTTGGAGATATTTAAAAAAATCTTTTGCAAAACTTTAAACGCGTTTTCTGGCTAAACTAAAAGAGATAGAGCAATTTTAAGTGTTTTTTGTGATCACTGGGATTTGACAGATTCCGCCAATATATGATAATAGGCTGTAGCAAAAATATTTTTGGAGATATTTAAAAAAATCTTTTGCAAAACTTTAAACGCGTTTTCTGGCTAAACTAGAAGAGATAGAGCGATTTTAAGTGTTTTTTGTGATCACTGGGAGTTCACAGATTTCGCCAATATGTGATAATAGGCTGTAGCAAAAATATTTTTGGAGATATTCAAAAAAATGTTTTGCAAAACTTTAAACGCGTTTTCTGGCTAAACTAGAAGAGATAGAGCGATTTTAAGTGTTTTTTTTTTGTGATAACTGGGAGTTCACAGATTTCGCCAATATGTGATAATAGGCTGTAGCAAAAATATTTTTGGAGATATTTAAAAAAATCTTTTGCAAAACTTTAAACGCGTTTTCTGGCTAAACTAAAAGAGATAGAGCGATTTTAAGTGTTTTTTGTGATCACTGGGATTTGACAGATTCCGCCAATATATGATAATAGGCTGTAGCAAAAATATTTTTGGAGATATTTAAAAAAATCTTTTGCAAAACTTTAAACGCGTTTTCTGGCTAAACTAGAAGAGATAGAGCGATTTTAAGTGTTTCTTGTGATCACTGGGAGTTCACAGATTTCGCCAATATGTGATAATAGGCTGTAGCAAAAATATTTTTGGAGATATTTAAAAAAATCTTTTGCAAAACTTTAAACGCGTTTTCTGGCTAAACTAAAAGAGATAGAGCGATTTTAAGTGTTTTTTGTGATCACTGGGATTTGACAGATTCCGCCAATATATGATAATAGGCTGTAGCAAAAATATTTTTGGAGATATTTAAAAAAATCTTTTGCAAAACTTTAAACGCGTTTTCTGGCTAAACTAGAAGCGATTTTAAGTGTTTTTGAGATCACTGGGAGTTCACAGATTCCGCCAATATGTGATAATAGGCTGTAGCAAAAATATTTTTGGAGATATTTAAAAAAATCTTTTGCAAAACTTTAAACGCGTTTTCTGGCTAAACTAAAAGAGATAGAGCGATTTTAAGTGTTTTTTGTGATCACTGGGATTTGACAGATTCCGCCAATATATGATAATAGGCTGTAGCAAAAATATTTTTGGAGATATTTAAAAAAATCTTTTGCAAAACTTTAAACGCGTTTTCTGGCTAAACTAGAAGAGATAGAGCGATTTTAAGTGTTTTTGAGATCACTGGGAGTTCACAGATTCCGCCAATATATGATAATAGGTTGTAGCAAAAATATTTTTGGAGATATTTAAAAAAATCTTTTGCAAAACTTTAAACGCGGTTTCTGGCTAAACTAGAAGAGATAGAGCGATTTTAAGTGTTTTTTAGATCACTGGGAGTTCACAGATTCCGCCAATATATGATAATAGGTTGTAGCAAAAATAATTTTGGAGATATTTAAAAAAATCTTTTGCAAAACTTTAAACGCGTTTTCTGGCTAAACTAGAAGAGATAGAGCGATTTTAAGTGTTTTTTGTGATCACTGGGAGTTCACAGATTTCGCCAATATGTGATAATAGGCTGTAGCAAAAATATTTTTGGAGATATTTAAAAAAATCTTTTGCAAAACTTTAAACGCGTTTTCTGGCTAAACTAAAAGAGATAGAGCGATTTTAAGTGTTTTTTGTGATCACTGGGATTTGACAGATTCCGCCAATATATGATAATAGGCTGTAGCAAAAATATTTTTGGAGATATTTAAAAAGATCTTTTGCAAAACTTTAAACGCGTTTTCTGGCTAAACTAGAAGAGATAGAGCGATTTTAAGTGTTTTTTGTGATCACTGGGAGTTCACAGATTTCGCCAATATGTGATAATAGGCTGTAGCAAAAATATTTTTGGAGATATTTAAAAAAATCTTTTGCAAAACTTTAAACGCGTTTTCTGGCTAAACTAAAAGAGATAGAGCGATTTTAAGTGTTTTTTGTGATCACTGGGATTTGACAGATTCCGCCAATATATGATAATAGGCTGTAGCAAAAATATTTTTGGAGATATTTAAAAAAATCTTTTGCAAAACTTTAAACGCGTTTTCTGGCTAAACTAGAAGAGATAGAGCGATTTTAAGTGTTTTTGAGATCACTGGGAGTTCACAGATTCCGCCAATATATGATAATAGGTTGTAGCAAAAATATTTTTGGAGATATTTAAAAAAATCTTTTGCAAAACTTTAAACGCGTTTTCTGGCTAAACTAGAAGAGATAGAGCGATTTTAAGTGTTTTTTAGATCACTGGGAGTTCACAGATTCCGCCAATATATGATAATAGGTTGTAGCAAAAATAATTTTGGAGATATTTAAAAAAATCTTTTGCAAAACTTTAAACGCGTTTTCTGGCTAAACTAGAAGAGATAGAGCGATTTTAAGTGTTTTTTGAGATCACTGGGAGTTCACAGATTTCGCCAATATGTGATAATAGGCTGTAGCAAAAATATTTTTGGAGATATTTAAAAAAATCTTTTGCAAAACTTTAAACGCGTTTTCTGGCTAAACTAAAAGAGATAGAGCGATTTTAAGTGTTTTTTGTGATCACTGGGATTTGACAGATTCCGCCAATATATGATAATAGGCTGTAGCAAAAATATTTTTGGAGATATTTAAAAAAATCTTTTGCAAAACTTTAAA